TAGCATCGTGGACACAGGCCTTAAGACAGTCTTTAAGCGTTTACGGATCGTTCTCTGCCATCAACCGAACTCGGTACAGGCGCATCGCGCGCGGATACACATTGCAAGTTGTAACGACACTCCGCGCTTCTCGCCCGCGGCGAAAATCTAATTTCCGCCTCGCGTCAAAGGATCGCGTACCGGACGTACCGGGACTGCCGTGAGATATCTTGCAGGAAGGGCCTTTCAATTGCCAATTGACGATATTAAATTTTTTTTATCTCGGCGGCCGGCACGTCGAACGGGATCTTCATTAAGATAAAATCGAGATGGGATTAACGCGATTAAAACGAAAAACGTAATGCAGTTGATTATTTACGCTCTTCGGGCTCCGTTTACGAATGCAATTAATCCTCTTGGCGGATATCCTCGTTAAAGAGGAATCCACCGCATTTAATATAATATTTTCAGTTAAAACGTAAATAACATTGATATAATGTAAAATAATATATTGTGCGAAAATTTTATTTCTCCTTTCAACTTTCGGTGAAAAATGATATCTTTGTCATAGACAATTTCCATGGTTTGTTTACAATCAATTCTCATATTTAACTTTGTCTTAAACACATGTTGGAGAACTATTTAGCCGAAAAATATTTCGTAATCCGTACGGTTAATTTTTCCGGCCGATGCCTGTCTCTGCCAATGCAGATTAACTTCGATCTCGGTTTAAATCACCTCTTACCCTTTTCTAGTTTTTAAAACTAGAAAAAGATATAAAGTAAGTTTTACCGAGATTAAAATTTAATCCGCATTGGTAGAAATGGACATAAGAGGTGCCTCGAGAGGCATTTACAAGCCTTAAATATATAAGAGTTGAACTGCGCAGTGCGCACTAATGCGAGAATTAAACCAAATTCGCTACAACTTGAAAAAAAAAAGATTGCTGCCAGGAAATGTTACGCGCGCATTTTAGATATGCCGAAACAACCCGAGTCAAAATTTTGGCGCTATGTTGAACCTTTAATTTATTATACAGTAGGACCTAAGACAGTAAAAGAGGTCGAACTGCAAGTACAAAATTTACTCCTACTTTAAAACTGATAGTTTCCGAAATTCCTACTTTTGTCAATTTAGCATTAAAGTACGTCCTTTTAAGTGGGAGCTAAAGTAAATTTTTAGAATGAAAGATTCAAGGGAGGAGTAAAAAAATATGTCATCAAAGTAGGTTAATGCTGGTCTATGTAGGTGTACAGATCAGCTAAGTAGGTGTAAGTGATCCTTAAAAGTGTCAAAATAGTACCAAAAATCCCGAGTCGAAATCTTGGTACTATTTTGACACTTTTAAGGATAATTTACACCTACATAGACCAATAATATCTTTAATTCTAAAAATTTGCTTCAGCTCCTACTTAAAAGGACGTACTTTAATGCTAAATTGGCAAAAGTAGAAATATCCAACACTATCAGTTTTAAAGGAGGAGTAAATTTTGTACTTGCATTTCGACCTCTTTTAAGGATAATTTACACGTACTTAGCTGATCTATACACCTACATAGACGAGCAGCAACCTACTTTGATGACATTATATTTGTTTACTCCTCCCTTGAATCTTTCATTCTGAAAATTTACTTTAGCTCCTACTTAAAAGGAGCTTTTTCAATGCCTACTTTAAGACCTATTTTAATACTAAATTGGCAAAAGCAGAAATTTCCGACACTATCGGTTTTAAAGTAGGAGCAAATTTTGTACTTGCAGTTCGGCCTCTTTTACTGTCTTAGGTCCTACTGTATTATAATAGAATTAAAGGTTCAACAGGGCGCCAAAATTTCGACTCGGGAATGGACGTCGCGTTCGATCTTATTCAACGGGCAATTTGTAATATTGGTTAGGAAATTAGGTAATAATAATATTGTTGGCCGTGTCCCCGTTGACATCTTCGCGGCACGCGGTAACAAATTAATCGACCGCGCCGCCGTTATCCGGGGGTCCCGGAACGCGCATACGCATACCACCACGCGGATCCGACGGTCAGAATTCATTTAACATATTCGACGTTACGTCATGTTGCGCGTATGATACACTCTCGCAATAATACAACCGTAATCGACCGACATTAATTTCCGCCATAAATAAATAATCCTTGTATAATCAACTGCGTTTTCAGCTTGTAATTACATGCATTAAAATTATTCGCTGTCTGAATATACTAAACAATTAGTGGCCCCCAATCAATACCGCCCGGCAATCCGAGACTATAACGAATACCACTCGTGTCCAATAATGTAACTGGATTCAACAAATAATCCTTACAAATTGTCATAAGCTTTTCGCCGAATGTTCGACGAACAATGAGACGAGGTCGACAGAGGAGGCGGCGACGGGCGATGAACGCGCCAACTGCGACGTGATTAAAAAGAAGGGGAAAAATTTGTCTCTTTTTTTCCATTACACACATTTACCGCTGGCTTAAAAAAACTTTTCTACAAATTTAATTCTTCGTTCGCGCTTTCGACGGCAATGTGTTTTAACCGCGCGAGAGCGCGATGCAAATGTCGCTCTCTAAAAGTCAATCGGTAGTAATTCACTGACTGATTTTTGGAGAGCGGAGATTCATAACGCGCGCGTTAAGACAAGCCGAGTTTTGTCGATCTTGTCAACTTATTTCGATCTTGTAGATCCACCTTCGAAGCTGAGCGTCACCGGATACGAGGAGGGCACGACGATAGTCGCCGGGACGGTGCTGAAACTCATGTGCACCGCCACGGCGGGTAATCCGTTGGCCACGTTAACATGGTACAAGAACGACCGCAAGGTACGTGAACTCATACAGGGATACCGCTGTAAATCTAGTAGTGGCGGATTATCGCGCGGACTCAAAGGAGAGACTCCGAGGAGTCTCCCTCGTTCTTCTAGTTTCCAAAGTTTTACTAATTATTGAAGGAACGAACACCGGGAGCGATCACTGCCTATTAACTTGACGGATTATCGAGTCGCGGAATGCTTTCTAGTTGCTCTCAGGGCCAACGTTTGATGAAATATACGAATATTCACATATTAAAAGACTTGGAAGTTAGATTGGCCGTGTCTGGCAGTTTTTATGTTCAATATTCGCAACGTTTCGACCATGGTTTGTGGTCCTTTTCAAATATGACATAGTATCAAAGGAGGCAAATGTTTTCCTTTAATTTATTACACTGAACATTTGATACTGTATCGCGTGAAGAGGACCACAAACCATGGTCGAAACGTTGTGAATATTGAACATAAAAATCGCCAGACATGGTCAATCTAACTTCCAAGTCTTATAATCACTACTGGCGACATTGAAGATTACCGCCTGGTTAGTTTATTCACATATTAAATTAAAAAATTATCGGGCTACCTTTATCTTGCTCGGGCCTAAGTAATTGGCATTCTATACCGTAAAGATCCTGATTTAACTGTACTTGCAAATATTCGAATCTCGCGGATAAAACTCCTCTTTAAATCCCCCGCGGCGCCTTGGAGTGTCCTACGACGTTCGCGAGCATTTTTCGTATCAACCTAAATATCTTGAGATCCGCCACCGCGGAGATCGTTACGCTAATATTGTGTTGCATCGCCAGGTACTCGGCACAGTGAGGCAGCGAAATCACGCCGTCTCGAGCGAGCTGGCGATACTCGTCAACGCGTCCGACAACAATGCCCACGTGCGATGCGAGGCGACGAATTCCGCCACCGAGATCCCCCTGCTCAAAGTTCTCGTGCTGAAAGTCTACTGTAAGATATGACTCATCCCGCATACTCATTATTATCAGAATCCTTTTGTGTGTTTTTATCGAGGCTCCGCTCAGATCGCGGTAGAAACGCTCAAGTTTCACCGGTAAGAAAGGCCGGCGCGTAGGGATGATTGAACGATGCTGCAATTACTCTTTTTTTTTCTCCCCTCCCATTGTTTCTCGCGCCGCGAATCTCGGCGCGGCAACGGCAATATTTTAAACGGCGAACCGTCGACTTTTTTCACCCCCCTCCTCTAGTCCCGCCGGAGAGGGTGAAGATTAACCGCGAGCCCCAGGATTTTCACGCCGGCCAGGAGGGACGTCTAATCTGCGAGTCGAGCAGTAGCAATCCCGCCGCTGAAATGTCGTGGTGGAAGAACGGGATACCGGTGCCCGGCACCAGGAACAGCACCAAGCCCGGATTACACGGCGGCTACCTCTCGTCCGTCGAGCTCGCGCTGGACTTAACCGAGGACATGAACGGCGAGGTGTACACCTGCGAGGCGAAGAACGCCGAATTGGGGAGATCGAGCCACGACGCCACGACGCTGGACGTGCTGTGTGAGTATGGACCCAAGTGGATCGCGCCTAACGGCGTGATCTGCGCACCTGCGGGGATTAGCGCGCGTACACGATCGGGTGCGTTCGACCCGGAAATCCCTGCGAAACGCGCGGTAGCGTCTACGACTAGCGTCCTGGGTATATCGAGTCGCGCTGGTGTAAATTTATTTGCCCTTTATCCGCGATATCTCTCCCGTATGTTTTGCACAATAACAATGGTGTACGATGACAATCGATCGGACGCGGCACAAACGAGGCGAAAAGAATGCACAGGTGAGACTGCGAGGGGGAGAAAAATTAATCCGCCATTTATTTTTGCGCGATGCTAGAAACTCCTTTTTATTAAACACGTGTGTGCTGTATGCGAGAGATACGTAAATTCAACGAACTCTCACATTTTAGAATCGTAATCGCGCCTTTTGAGTATATGACAACGGATTGTTGAAGTTTTGTAGTTTTATAATTGCACGGTTGTGTCCGAGAGATGAAAGAAATGAAACTGCGCGAGACGAAAATTGCGTACGAACGTGAAGAAGATGAATCTGTATGCAGTTTTGTCAAATAGCGAGCTTAAAAGCGAATGCACTTGCGTCTTCTTTCGCGCGACCATGCTCCGTTTGAAAATCACGTGAAACGCACTGGGGTAGACGGAGGCGAATCGGATCGCAGGGCCGAGACTATATTTGTCACATACCGATCGAAGCTTATTATTCTGGCTTTTTTCCTCCGCTCCTAAAACAAAAGCCGGTGCGTGCACATTGTTTACAGTTCGGCGTCGGTGTTGAACTAAAAGTGATCCGATTCGCCTCGGTCTACCCTGTATCGGCTCGCAAGCAACGCTATTTTTTACCACCTCGCCCGATTAGACATGACGGAAATAAAACGTGACTTGTCCCTTTTTATCCTCCCCGCCGTTCCACAGACAAGCCGATATTCTCGCCGTTGGACCCTTACGAATTAACTGGCTTGGAAGGAGAGCCCTTTGTAATTTCCGTATCGGCGAGGGGCAATCCCAACACGACGGAGTACACGTGGACGAGGGACGGTCTGCCGTTGGGTAGCAGCGGTAAGAGAATAACCGCGCACGGTTCCACGCTAAATATCACAAGATTGGATCGTCATGACGCCGGCACGTACATATGCGAGGCGCTGAACAAGGAGGGAACCACCTTTTACCAGCTAAATCTGACCGTGCAGTGTAAGCAAACAATGTCGCCGCGTTAATGCGCGAATAAATTCCGTTACGATATCGCCGATTAATTTCGTAGCAAAAGGAACGATCGCCCGAGTCGAAATTCTGGCCCTACGTTGAACCATTAATTCTGTTATACAGTAGAACCTAAGGCAGTAAAGGAGATCGAACTGCAAGTACAAAATTTATTCCTCCTTCAAAACTGATAGTGTTGGAAATTTCTACTTTTGCCAATTTAGCATTAAAGTACGTCCTTTTAAGTAGGAGCTGAAGCAAATTTTTAGAATTAAAGATATTATTGGTCTATGTAGGTGTAAATTATCCTTAAAAGTGTCAAAATAGTACCAAAATTTCGACTCGGGCGACGTCTTGGAAAATTGCTGATTAATTTTAACAAGTGTCTACAGACGATCGTCCGTCGCGGTTTCCTCCATCTTTTCTAATTTTTTCTGCCCGCTTCTTCTAATTACTTCAATCTCTCTTTAATCTCCTCTGGTATCTCTCTTGCCCCTGTAACGATTCTCTTGCGCGCCAAGCGATTTCGAAGGAGTTTTCTTCGATACGCAAAATAGTTGTCGCTAACGCGAATTGCAGCTCGTCCGTTTTACCCCGCAGATCCGGCTAAGATCAAGCGCACTTTGTCGCCGGGGATAGTTTATCCGCCGGAAAATTGCTGATTGATTTCAACACCTGTCTACAGACGTTCGATCGTCCGTCTTTTCTCATTTTTTCTGGCCGTTTCTCCTAATTCAATCTTTCTTTAATCTTCTCTGGTATCTCTCTTGCCCCTGTAACGATTCTCTTGCGCGCCAAGCGATTTCGAGGGAGTTTCCTTCGATGCGCAAAATAGTTGTCGCTAACGCACGAATTGCAGCTCGTCCGTTTTACACCGCAGATCCGGCTAAGATCAAACGCACTTCGTCGTCGGGGATAGTTTATCCGCCGGGTATCGAGGCGAAGCTGTTCTGCGAGGTCGACGGCAGCCCGATCGGCGACGAGTACGTCACGTGGCAGAAGATAGGATCGAATCCCGAACTACCGGGACGTTACTCGACGTCTTTCGTTAATCGGACGTCGTATCTTCACATAGAATACCCCAGCCAGGAGGACGTCGGCGAGTATCGGTGCAAGGTCAACAACGGCATCGGCAACGTGACATCGGATCCCATTATATTCATCACGAATTGTACGTCAAGGATTTTCAACAATTTTACCTCGATCATTCAATAATGCAAGCGAGTTCGAAGCGCGATCGGACAAACGATAAAAATTGGATATATTCGATTTAATAATTTTAGCAATTTAAATATCGAACGGTTGTTTCGCTTCGTGTTATCTGACCGTAATTGCCGCGCATTGTCTAATAATTTGGATTTAATTAGAAATTAGCCGTTGTTGTTACATTGCTACACGGAGAGAATTTTCTTTTAAAATTTATCCTGAAAGTCATGTAACCGTGGGACAACACGGCATTTCGAAGAATTTTCTGAGAGTTTTGTGAAATTTTACCATACATTTTACTAGTAATTATACTTGGTATACACTTTACTAGTAAAATGTATGGTAAATTTCAAAAAACTTTCATTACGATTACATGATTTTCAAGGTAAAGTTTAAGAGAAAATTCTCTCCCCCCCCCCGTGTAGGGAACAAGCAAGCGTGCAAACGAACAATCGAGAGAATTCGTGTACGATTAATAGTATTTAGGTCTCGATACAAACAATTAACAATAGTATAACGAAAAGTGATGAATCCTAATTATTGATGTTAATAATTAAATATTACAATATTATTATTGTAATAATTACTCATGTGTTGCAGTCAATATAATATTAATGATAACCAACAATAGTCAATAATAGAAATACCGTCGACTCTATAATTGTCGCAAAAATGTCGACGTTTAATTGCGATCACAATGGAAAAAGCAATTATAGATGTACGCGCGCGGTAGTGCATTGGCGCGCGCGGCTCACGTGTATCGGGATGCGCGTAATAAAGAATTCACTGGTACTTTTTATGCGCAGTTAAGCCGGAAATGACGAACACCCCGCTGACGCGAAAGGCGGCGGCGAACAAAGGAATAAACGTCCAATTGTTCTGCAAAGCGCGGGGATCTCCATTGCCGCGTTTCACTTGGATCTTCAATGGGAAAACTTTATTGCCGAACGCAACCGAGGATAAATACAGTATCATTCACAGCGATGTAAGTCGCTTTACAAGATATACTTATCTCTTAAATAACGACCTCCCTCGCCAGTGTATCTCCTTTACAGCGCGCAGGCACCGGCGCTGTATTGTACTGCATACTGTAAATCTTGTTGTTCGTTTAACTTCGAACGAATTTCACTTTGATAGAATTCCCAGTGTCGGGCATAGTCAAGGAGATATTTACCGTGGCAAATTCGAAAGTTGCGAGGAGGTCGTAACGCCCAATTAAAATTGTACCGAGAGAAACGATTGCCGTTACAAGGAGACACGAGACAGCGGGAGAGCAAGAGAAAGAAAGCGCGTTACACACTCGAGATGTCCCTCCAATTTCAACGTCTTCTCTCCAAAAGTCAATCAGTGAGATTAACCACTGAAAACCGTGAATATTCACCGATTATAAATACAGCACTGAACAATGCACCGATTGACTTTTAGAGAGTCGATAACACTCGTATCCTCGATGACGAGGTAGTAATGAAGCTCCCCCTGACGTTCTCCCCCAGCTGACCGAGCTCTACTCGGAAACGACGTTGACCATCTACCACGTGAGATCGCAGGACTACGGAAAGTACGAGTGCCGCGCCCAGAACAAGTTGGGACAGTCGAGCGACGATATACTCCTGGACGTGACGTCGCCGCCGGACAAGCCGGACGACTTGGAGGTCTACAACTACACGCACGACTCGGTCACGTTGATCTGGAAGCGCGGCTTCGACGGCGGCCTGCCGACGTCGCATCAGATACGATGGCGGCAGGCGCTGGATTACGACGATCGTTATTATTATCTGGACGTCCCGCCCGGCGAGTACAAGGCCACCATATCCGGCCTGTTGCTGGGGACTTCTTACGTGTTTAGCGTGAAAGCCGTCAACGAGAAGGGGGACAGCGGCTTCTTGCCGGACCTCGTCAAAGTCCAGACGCTTCGTAAGTTGTTGGATAAACACCCCGTAGCTCGCTTCCCCTGTTGAGAAAATCGGCGACTCTCCGCCCTTTACAGTAGAACGAATCGTAATCGAAAGAAATCGCAATCACGTGGATCATTCTCTCTCACGCGGAGATGATAATTATTTCCTTTTCTCATCGGCATTAGACGGTACATCGTTTATTCACGCTACACGGCGGAAAATAACAGCTTGCTAAATCATTATGCAGATCATCGAGACATAATTAAACGCGATTGCCTCCTCCCGCATCCACGTAATTAATTGTGCTCAGTAATTAGGTTGATCATGTATTACGTTGCGTACATTTAGTGTGTCTCGTGAATGTTCGCATGGCATTTATATATCGTGGGCTAGTTGTAATAAAGTACATTTGGACATTACGCATAGCGGTAGCGTTTGCAAGTATCATAACGTGTAGAGTGCGATGATTTTCAGCATGACATTCATTCCGATGGTATTACAGCATCAGTACGGTGACGCTTAGCTTTAGAAATTGTCTCGTTACGGTACTTTTTCCCCGGCGCTTCTAGCTAAGATAGAGAGAATCGCGGGCTAGACGTGGAACTTCTGGTCGAAAGACCCATTGTCGCGCATCGTTACGTTGCCGGTCGCGGCAACGCGATCCAAACGGTTACTTGCTTGCCTCTTTTTTCTTTTTTCAAGGGGAAAAACGATAGATGAGCAAGTATACCTAGTCGCTACTTAACCTGTCCGATTACTGGCTGTAAGCTACGTTTAGCGGCGTTGAAACGCAGCATTCGCAATAGCCGAAGATTGCCAAGTTGAACTAACAAACGTAGAATCCCAGTCGTTGCATGAATAACAAAAAAACCGGTGACGGGGCATTGGCTTGGGTTACAGGCGAGGCGCCACCAACCGAGTTGACATCAAGCGAGAATAGTTCCTCCTACATCATCGTCATTATCATCACTGTTTCCGCCTCTGCTTGCCTACTCATTGCCGCGACCATAGTCTTTGCTACAATAAAGTCGAAAAAGAAGGTCCAGCGTGCTGGTAAATATTAATATCTATCATGTGTTCTTTCTCTCCTTTATTTCCCTAGGCCCGAATAATGAGGAAAACCTACCGGACGTCCTCTCGGAAAAGGGCGACTTTCCGATGAATTATATCTATACGTTAGCGGCGACGTCCGTCATCATTTTTATCGTTAATGTCTTCATCATGTTGTGGTACATTATACGAAAGCGAAATAAAGCTCGTAAGTTTACGACCAAGTAACAAGTACTTAGCGCTTTCAATTCTAAAGGGTTAGCCCAGATACGGCCGCGGCCACGGCAGTGGATGGAGAGTCCAGTTTACTTCCCTGATAAATGTGAAAAGGGATTTTTCAACGAGAAAACGACGCGCGATACATTCGGTCTAGATGTCCAAGGCATTTCAAGTTTTATTATGTCACTGAGTGAAGCTAATTAGCGATACTAATAAATCGCCTATAATGGATTGATGAAACTCGTTAAAGATAATGAACCCGTTATTACAGCTTTATGCGCGTTAAGTTTATTGTCGTGTGTCTTTTAAATCGTTGAATTGATAAAATGAAATTGTTCCAACTGGACTCGTCCTCCGCTACGCGGCCGCGGCTTCACCGTTCGCCTCTCGCTCTGCCGCGCACCATATTCACTACGTGTTACCTTTGCACAGGCATTAATAAGTCGCAGACCGCGGATATGTACGCACCATCCACCGTCAACGGCGACACCATGACCGGCGAATTAAGTTCGATGTCGGACGAGAAGAGCGACGTCAACTTCGACGCCAATGATTACGTGGTCAGTGCCATCAGTCAGTATGTTCTTAGTAACAAGTAATTCCGGAGGGTAGGTTTGAGTTCTAGCAACACTTTTTCTGTTCCGCTTTCCCTATCAGTTTCGCTGCTCTCGCTCTTCCCCCCCGTTTTCCTCTTTCATTCGCTCGTTACTTGGTTTCCGCGCTTTTCCCCCCCCCCCCGCTCGCAAGTCCGTTCACCCTCTAACGCAAGATGTTGCGAGCGGGTAATAAGAACGTGCACCCGACACTGTCCCCCTCGCTGCTAATTTAACTTTACTTTTCAGCCGTTAAGCATGATGTTTCAATTTACCGTTTATTTAAAAAGTACGCGGACGTTGTTTATAAGTTTATATGGTCAAATGTGTATGAAGCTTCCGGTTAAGGAGCTAACTTTAATAATTTGAAGTTAAGCTATTCTTTTTCTTTTTTAATCGCAGTTATCTTTTTGCAGCTTTAACCCACCGTTACGTATACTTTTATTTTCTTTTATATAAGAAAACTCCGATATTTTTTAATAATATATCGTCACGTATTTATATCATTATGACCCTATATCGTTCGATCGCGGAGTTTGGCTTAAGGCAGCTACCCTCAGGTAAATCCGAAGTTATATCTCTTGAAAAGTAACGCTGTGATAAAAGTGATATTAGTGTCAAACGCTCGCGACATCTTAATCCAATGAGATTCACGGTGCCATGGACTATCGACCAACTTTCTCCACTCTCTAAAAATCAATCGGTGAATTATCGCTGCGAGCGGTGAATACACAGTTGAAAAAAAAGACAAATCATTTTATTCTGTAAACTTTAACAGATAAACCATTGTAATAATGTAGAACATATGTATTGTGTAAAATTAAACGTGTTGTTTTCTTTTCACTTATTTTAATAATTTTACATTTCAGGTCAATTAGCACAAGAGCAGTATGTTAAATTAACGCATAAATGTGGTAAATATTTAACACAAAAATTGTAACCGGCATTTTCTTTTGACAAAACACCAATTTTATAAACGTGTAGTCACTGATTTTGCGGATATAAAAGTATACCACTGCGATTTCCAGTGGTATAACTGCGAATCAGTGACTATTCGCTGTTTTCAGCAATAATTCACCGATCGAATTTTAGATTTCTAATCGTCAAACGCTTGGCCTGCCTCTCTCGCAGTAGCGTAGTGGACATACAATGGAAGTAAGAGCAGTAAAGGGAGAGAGAGAGAGAGAGTAACAAATTATGGAAGTGCATAACCGACGATGTTGAAGTTCAATCGCGGGGAGAGAGAAGTTTCGATACGCCGGGTCGAATCCGTTATTTCGCAGCGATAAAAGATTTATACGACTCACCGTTGGGCACGTTGCGAATCCGAACATCAGCGCGGGATGCGTTGGATCTGTAAACGAAAACAGGAATTATAAAACAAAAAAACGCTCCGTATTTTGCCGCACGCGCGGAATACAAAGTGCGCCCGGGAAAAGGGTTTGTTTGAAATCAAACAAATTTGCTTGAATTTCGACCTCGCTAGACTTTTATTTAGTTTCAAAGAAGTGATCTCTTCAAACCAAAAGTTTATTTCATTGAGACTGGGGTTTCCAGCTCTCTAAATATCAGTGAATTATTACTGAAAACGGCGAATAGTCACCGATCAGCAGTTACAGGCTGTAAATCGGCGACTAGCCGCTGTGTTCAGTGATAATCCACTGACTTTTAGAAGAGAAGAAAATTCGTATCCACTTTCTTCAAGTCTTTTAGTAGAAGTTTATAGCAAATTTTTTCAGTGCATATAAATAATATTTTAGTAGATTCGCAGAAACATGATTTCAACGTAACTCATTTGTTTAACCGAAATCTTTTTTTCCGGCGTGCGCGTCTGTCGATACGAAAAGTGTTCGCCTACAAATAAATCGCCCCAGGGATACTCCGGCAATTTGCGAGACGACAATTCAGGGAAAAATTATATCTTTCTCCGAGGGGGTTAGGTGGAGAGTAATTCCCCCCCCCCCCAATCCGATAAAAATTATTATCTCTCGTTTTCTACCCGGCCACCGCTCGGTTTTCATTATTTCGTTATTTAGTCGAAAAGCTATTTTATTATTTTTTATTTTTATCGCTTTATTATTTTATATCCTGTTCAAGATAGGATTAACGAATGTAGCACGCATGAAATATCAAATTTATTACTATCGATCGCGCGAGAATGCAATGCGAGAATACACGCGCGCGTAATGTGCGTCGCTTCTTTTTTTTTCTGATTCGCGGTAGGCTCGCGTTTTTTTCCCCCGAGATAATGCCGGGTCAATTAATCGACGACCGAGCGAATTTGCTTACCGAGTCGCCGCCGCGCCATTTTCCCCATCGTACCGCACGCTCGGGGCCGGTCACCAAGGCGAATGATAGCCGATCGGAAGCACTGGACGGCTAATTGCGGTCGCGGATGCTAATTAACGCGACGCGACGACCGCCCGCCACTTTGTACGGCGCTCCCGGTGTTTATCGCACTCGCGGCGACGAAAAAGCGACGCTCGACCCTTTGTCCCGGTCGGCAACGTTCGTTACGCGCGAAATAATGGCGTCGCGTCGCAACGAAGCGAACGACGCGCGCGCGCGCGCGCGCACCGACTACTTTACGCTGGTTCGCGCGACGGGGACCTTCAGCACGTAGGGCCAGTTTAACGAACGCCGGTTAACTGCTAACTAAAGATTAATCGATTCTCTGTCTCTTATTGTTAGATGATGATATAAAAAAGAACAGCGAGCCGATTAATCTCTGGTCGACGGTTAGCCGCCACTTGTGAAATTGGCCTTTAGTCGATTATATTGATAGAGTCCGGCAATTAGACGGTTGAGTCGCGCCGATTGGCGATCGCGATCGAATATTGATCGACCCGACGCGCGATTTGGAAGAGCCGATACTTGAGAAACGCGTCCCGAGAATTGAATACCGTCTCCGTGAGCCGGAAACGAAAGCGCGCGGTTGAAAATGCGGTACGATCCGATTAATCGCCGTCGCGCATGTAATTCAACGCGATATTGTGCAACGCGACGCTTACCCCATCGTTTGCTTCGACATCTCCGACGTTTATCGTCCTTGCGGCGCGTTCGGGACAAGCGAAGCTCGCGAGTGGACGCGAGACGCGGCGAGCCGGGCGCGACTTTTCGACGCCATTGAGCGCGCGCGTCCGCCGTGACGTTGGGAAGGAAGCGCGCCGACGGCAACTTCACGCGGGTCCGCGCGAACCGCGCGAATCGAAGTACCGTTTGAATTTTGAAGAAGACGCCCCGCTTTTACCAACGCCGCTTAACTTTAAGCTCTGTTTAATTTGTTCTTCGTCTCATTCCAACTGTTACTTTAGAAAGAGACAAACGTGAATTAAGCTAAGGTTAATTAAGCTAAGGTTAAAGTTACGCGACGTTTGGTGAAGTCGAAGTACTATTTAAATTTTGAAGAACGGCCCGCTTTTACCAACGTCGCTTAACTTTAAGCTCTGTTTAATTTGTTCTTCGTCTCATTCCAACTATTACTTTAGAAAGAGACAAACGTGAATTTAGCTAAGACTAAAGTTAAGCGACGTTTGGTGAAGTCGAAGTACTATTTAAATTTTGAAGAACGGTCCGCTTTTACCAACGTCGCTTAACTTTGTTTAATTCGTTCTTCGTCTCATTCCAACTGTTACTTTAGAAAGAGACAAACGTGAATTAAGCTAAGATTAAAATTAAGCGACGTTTGGTGAAGTCGAAGTACTATTAAAATTTTGAAGAACGGCCCGCTTTTACCAACGTCGCTTAACTTTAAGCTCTGTTTAATTTGTTCTTCGTCTCATTCCAACTGTTACTTTAGAAAGAAACAAACGTGAATTAAGCTGAGGTTAAAGTTAAGCGACGTTTGGTGAAATCGGGCTTTAAAAGTTATTGAAACGGTTGACGCGAATATCTGCTCGATTACCGACGCGACGAGCCCCGAGCGGATAACTAACGTCCAAATCACGCGGTTTTTGTTTTGTTTTTTTTTTTTTTAAATAAATGACTGTGTCCGGGAATAATGCGCGAGAACTCGACCGAAGGGAGGCATTTTCAGTAACGCGACATAGAGCGATTAATCTCGCGCGAGCGTACATGTTAATACAACGCGATGATCACCCGCCGTTCCGGCATTTCCGTTTATTGCACTGCGACGCTATCCGGGATGAGGAAATATATCGCGACACGGTAAATATCGCGATAAATCGATGCTTCGGCGATAGTTACATGTGTCGCGCGACGTTAAGGATCCGAGGCGCGCGTACTACACGGCGAGAATTTTCTTTTAGAATTTATCCCGGAAACCGTGGTAGTCGTGGGATAACGTGGCATTTCGAAGAATTTCATGAGAGTTTTTAGACACTAGAACTTATAGTAAAAGAACAAATTAACAGGCGCAGTAAAGAATCGTACGTGGAAACGTTAAAATTTTCTTGTGTTACCAAGACTTGATTATTTCTATGTAAAATTAACTTGAGAAACTCTATTTCAACGCCAGACGTTTCGATCGACTAATGTGATTCTTTTCAATGGCATAATAAATAATAAATACGGCGCAAACAGTCGTTTTATATAAAATATAGAAGCTTATAAGTAAAATTTCCATGTTATCCCACGGCTCCCGTGATTTTCAGGGCAAATTCTAAGACGGAAAAGAAACGGAGTGAAAATTCTCTCCGTGTACTATCATCTGAAGAGATTGGCGGAGAAAATTAATATTGAATTGCTAGATATCTTCTAAATGTAAGGACCGATTCGGCCGCGCGCGATGAACCTCGAGAGAGTAAACGATATCGAGACGACGCAGCTTTTAACAAACAGATTATCTTATATCCTTAGGCGCGAGAGAAGGGAAACGCAATATCGGAGGACGCGGTTAATCTCGATCGCGTGTCGATTTAACACGTCGCGGCGATTACACGACGCCGTTACGACGCCGCCGCCACTCGCGCACGCGAGATATCGAGCGCTTCCCTTCGACCGGAACGAAGGAACGTGCGAGTAAAATTCTTAGCTGGTCTTGTACTCTTTAAGACCGTGTTTTAAAGTCTTTGTCTCGAAGTGACGCACAATAACTGTCTTGTGCCTCAAGAGTACAAGACAGCTATTCTGCTGAGGCCCTTGGGGTGAATTTGCTCCGCGCGCGCACGTTTGCAAAGCGAATGTAAAAAGGGCGGGACGTGCGCCTCAAACGAAACTAAACTCCGTTGTAAAATTCCTGCGGATGTTAATTGCGCGGTTGGATTTACAGCGTGCAGCGATCGAAACTGATTCTCGATTAAGTAACGCTAATTACAGCCGATTACAGATTTTATGATTATGTTATTAATTTATTGTTAATGGTCCAATGTTATGCGTACGATAAATCGCTAATTATAGTCTTATTATCAATTGATTATATTATTAATTGGATTAGTAAAAGTAATTATTAGACCGCGCGATACTTTAAACAATCGTTGTTGTTATTACCTTCGTAAAACTAGTACGAAGATTGCAAATGAAAACGGGGGCGGATTGTAAACGTTAACGAATGCAAATTGGAGATGTAGATTTTAATTAGCGCGATTAAAGTGTTATCGCATTAATTACCGGTACTCTGATACTGCTGAGGTATCCATAAACAACTCTCGCTCTACTACTCGTACCTCCACTGGGAATAAGATCTCAAGTGCAAGAAAACACTTGTTGAAACTTGCATTAATACATTCGTTACAAAGGATGGCGTGATACGCAAGGAATCGAAGAATGAAAAGGATTAAATTGCACGTAGAAAATGATATTGTTCCTCTTTTTTTTCAATTTATATTTTTATGTTTCACTGCAGAAACGTTGTGCAACAAAATGATACTCCCATATATCAGGAGCAACTTGTGTATCGCGTTGCATTGCCGTAAGAGGGGATTTCGCGATTTATCGGAGCG